CGGCAGCAGCAGACGGACACGACGTGCGCATCTTCATCAAACCCAGTCAGAGCAGATATATTACAGTTACAGATCTGCCTCTTCCTGTGGGCCTTTTCTCCAAACAATAACATCGTTTATTCTTTCATCATCTGGAAAATTAAGCATCAACCAACAATTTAACTGTTCCTAATTAGGTACGGCTCCTCGTTTTATCCCTCGATGTAAAGGATGAAGCTGCAGGGCCGCCAGGTCTGCTAAGGACTAACAGCGTGAAATGTTCTAACGCCTAAGATCTTTTTCCTTTTCCTTTTAATAGGTCCTGAGCATATTTAACGCTCGCATGAACCCAGCGTTTGGAACGTGGAGCAAAGAGACGTCTGATTAAAACGCGGAGGGACAAAAAAAAAAAAAAAGAGATAAAATATAAAATATCCACAGCTTTGATTAAAAAGCGGTGAAAAGGTTCAGATGTTTCGAGGAAATAAATTTACGCGGTGGAGATGAGACCAACCTGGAGCTGCAGCGACGCTGATCTCAGATCAGTTTTGGCTCAGTGGGATCTCAGCTGTTGTGGGGGGACCCCTGAGTGACCCCGCAGCTGCTGTTTCCTGCCTTCAAGCTTCTGGTTCGTAGGGGAAAAAAAACCTAAATAATCCTTAAACTGACCAGTTTTAGAAACGTCTCTGCAGATTTTAAAATTAAAGCAAACTGGTTGGAGTTTGAGCTTTGAGGAAACAGAATCAAACACGTAATTTTTGTCTTCTATCAAGCTTAATTTATTTATTTTCTCAAACGTTTTCCTCTCAATTAAAATGAGTGCTTTCAAACTTCATAACCTTTCATGTTTTTGCTAATTATTAAGATTTTTATTCTACTTGTTAGGGTTGGGCATAATCGTATCGTGTGCAATTAATCGTCAGAAAAACATTAATCGATTATTTTTTGGCACTTGACCATTAATACGATTAAAGCCACCAGGTGGACTGACTGGATATTTCCCCGGTCAGTCTGCTCGGTGCTCCTCTCTGCTTCAAATCTGACAAACATTTAAACAAAAGTTCTGTAATTTATTTATCAACACAATTTAAAATTTGATGTGTAGCCTGAAGTCTGTGATTTTGGCACAATTTGGAACAGATTTTTACGAAGAGCAAATCTTTCCCACTAAAAAGGTCATGTGACCAGGATATAAAGGTGTCCAGGGACTCCAGAGGATTAATCGTCAAAGTAATCGTTGTCGGCTAAATACCACAATTAATCGTGATTAATTATTTTGCCAATATCGCCCAACCCTACTACTTGTACATTTCTCCTCATGTTGAGATTCACAGGATTATTTTTGGACCCGTGTTCAAGCGGCCATCTTGACCAGTGTGTCCTGGAAGAGGAACCAGTGGGTGTCAGTGGTGGTAAAATAAAGGACAAACAGTCAAATCAGTTCTAAGGACGTAGAGTGAGGAGGTAAGTTCTCACGGGGACAAAATTTAAGTTTTACACTGCATAAACTGTCCATCTTACCCAGTTTTAAAATCTTATATCAGCCAAAAAGTCTTTTTGATCTTGTTTTGAGACTGATTTACTAAACAAGAACTGACTGTGTAAGAATAATAATCTTGTTTTCAGAATGTATAAGATTATTTGTCTTGTTAGTCTGAAAATTTGACTCAAATTAAGTCAAAACTTTCTGCCAATGGAGTAAGAAAATTTTACTTGGTAAGATTCTTAAAATAAGACAAAATTGAGTCAAATGAAGTATTTCAAGAATCTCACCAAGTAAAATTTTCTTACTCCACTGGCAGAAATTTTTGACTTAATTTGAGTCAAATTTTCAGACTAAGAAGACAAATAATCTGACACATTCTGAAAACAAGATTATTATTCTTACACAATCAGTTCTTATTTAGTAAATCAGTCTGAAAACAAGATCAAAAAGACTTTTTGGCTGATATAAGGTTTTAAAACTTGGTTAGGTGGACATTTTTTGCAGTGTAGGACAGTTTCGTAGAAAACAAAAGCAAACGCAGCAGATTTAAGTGTCGACAGAGAAGTAAAAAGTGACGTTTAATAAAAGTGATGTGGAGCAGTTACGACAGGGACGGCTGGGATTGGATTTACAAAAGTTTGCAAATTTTCTGTGAATTTCGAGAAACTTTTTTGGAAACGTCCCTGTTGAAAGTGAAGCTGGGGAAATTTTGGAAATACTCAGAATTAGAAACTTTCCGTTAGAATTATTGGTTTGACCCAACATTTGGAAGAATTTAAACAGAATCGTACTGAAACCTTTTTTTTAAATAGTCGTCGTTTTTTTGTCCACACCCAAGCTCATCAAGAATCTCTAATAATGGCATCTGGTTACATTGTTTAGTGTTTCCTAAAAATAAATAAATAAAACAGGCAAACATTTTAAAAAAGGTGACAAAATTCAATCATCCTTAATGACATCATAAACTTAAAAAACAATGTGTTTCACATTTTTTGTTTACTTTTGTTTTTGTTTTTTCTAAATTAATGTATGAATATTTGACCAAACTGACATAAAAACAATAATTCATCAACTGCATATCATAAAACATGTCTGAAATATTTGTTTAATCAACTCTAAATAAAACAGTTTATATTTGCTTTTATTAATAATTTTTCTTAAGCATGTTTTGGTTGTTTTCTTGAGATAAAAATAAGAAATTTCAATAAAGCTAAACTTTTTATTCCTCCCTACATGTTTATATGTAGGATGTGTTTGTTTAATCAAAGTTATGTTAATTTTTTTATCTAAATCTGCTGTTAAGGGTCAGTTTTTAGTATTTTAAATTCCAGCTTGTTTGTATTTATCTCAATGCAAAGATTTCAACTTGAATTACCTGAATTTTGTGACGATGAAAGAAATTTGCGAGAATAATACAAACACAACACTTCCACAGCGAGTAAATAAAATGCAGTCAGTGTAGCAAATATGGGGGTGGCGGGGGGGGGGGGCAGAGAGGACCGCCGTGTCAAGGATTTTCAGGAAATTGGCGTGCGCTCGTCTGGAGAGGAGGAGAGCGCGGGGCTGCCGCCAGCTGCTCGCCATCTCTGGGAGGAAGAGCTCAGATCGGCGAGCAGGGGGCCCGAAGACCTGCGCGGTCCACGCCGCAGTTAGCTGCCACAAACACCCCCACCCACCCCCCAAACGTCTTCAGGGACGAGGAGGGGGACGTGGACTGAGGAGGAGACGCTGTCGTGCAAACGTGGAAGGGGATAAAAAAAAGAAGAAGGGCAAGGGGGGAGGAGGAGAGCGAAACAGACAAGACAGCTCCGAGAGGGATTTGTTCTATTTGCATGCGCTGGGGGGCTCCCATGGGGGGTCCGGCTGGACTCGGCGAGCCGAGAGCACAAAAGATAACACTTAACGTGTTTGCTAAAAGATGACAAGCCTGCCTGGATCTTGCCTGAAG